AACTACCAGTAATAGAATTTTTCCCTACAGATTTGAAGGTAACCAACCCGCATTGATATTTATATCAGTGTATGTTATTGTTCTGAATCCAAATTCATAATTATGATGAATATAATGTGTATAGTCGTTTCTTGTTAATCAGGCTTTCAACGCATATTCATCAACTACTCTCCTGGATGTGATTACCATAAAGGTTTAGCCCCGACAGGCTAATTCTAATAACTTTCCACGCGTCTCAAACAGGGACAGTGAGAGACTTTCAGGGTGAATCATTTGGAGTGTGTAAGGTCAGTTGTTCCAGAAGCTTGCGCATTGTATGAATGAGTGTAACAGTGAGAACTGACAACTGTTAATGCAATGTGATGTCAATGTGTAACAATTGCGGTTGCATATACATAAATAGATATACACACGTATCAGTGAACTGTGAGTTCTCTGACGTGTTGATTTCACCTTTATTCACAAAGATTATTCTTTCACCTTTGATAAACTTTTAACTGGATTGTTGTTAATGAAGTAAGTCTCTACTTTAGTTGCCTTTTCCTCATCGTCATTATCATCAGCACATAGAAGGGTAACTGTAGTTACGCAGTGTTGGTGATTTGTTGTTGTCTAACTTGGCTAGAATGAACCTCCAGTCACGACAGTTTAGCCAACTGATCACTTGGAAATATTCCCATACACTGAGTAGGTAGACACACACAAGTCTGAAAATGAAATACTAGAGTCTTTTTCCTTCTCAATAGTAACACTTATCGCAGGATGTGCCTCATTAAATTTATCCGGGATGTTCTTTGCCTCCTTTTCGTTCTTCATAATCAAAAAAGTATCATCCATATACCGACAATAAAATTCGAGTTCATTAATAACACCCTTCAAAGGCCCATTGTCTAGTTTCGCGAGGAAAATGTTGGCTAGAATGGGTCCTAGTGGTGACCCCATTGCCACACCGTCGATTTGTTTATACAGTTCCTTACTGAATAAAAAGTGGACATTCATTGTACATTTCAAGGGAAGCTCTTTCATAAAAGATATAGGAATGCCAACATCGATGTTTCGTCTTTTGAGTTCTTCGCATATAAAGTCCACTGTTTCCACGAGAGGTACATTGGTGAATAAGGAAGATATTATTTAAAAAAAGCTAATATTCTTATTAACTACTAATTTAAAATATTATGTGTTTATAAACATATATATAATTGTAGAGCCTGGAAGAGGAATTTATCGAAAAGAATATTCTTTGCTCGATTATTTTGTGTTTTATAGATGTCTGAATGAGAATTTTTGCTATATTGGTAATTTTGCTCGAAATATTACCAATAACAAAACTTATCATTTTGTGTAAACTATTGAAATATAATTATACTTTATTTGAATACTTTTGCTTGTTACTGTTTTTTGGTAGATAGCTGAGATAATTAGTATCCGTGGGGACAGATGAATATGAAGATATATGTAGGTCCAGGCCTTCTAAATGACAACTTCGGGCAGCGCATTTCGACAGTGTGGATTCTACGACATGCAAAGAACTGATAACTGACTTTCTATTGGGATCCAAAGTGGTTTGGCAGTTATTCACAAGGCGTTTTTCATGAGATGTACCATTGTGGATATACTTAAGAAAATTACTTACTACACAAGATGGTGAGGCCTGTTTAGATTGTGCTGGATCGTGAGAATTTGTATATGCACTTTGTTTTACTTTATTAAGTTTGCATCTTCTGCCGAAGTTTTTGGCTGATAATGAGGCACAACTCATTGATTGTTTAACCGAAATCTTGCACAACGGCCTTAGGAGCCTGGCAACTGTAATAATAATAATGTATATTTTCATAAAAACATAAATTTACATGAAAATGCACGCCATTTTTACAGGCACGATCAAGTATGATATAACGTCAAATAGTAGATTTGAAGATATGTGAGTCTCCGATTATTTAGTGCTTTACCGAATGACCGGTTGTCATACTGAAACCTGGAATCAGAAACTTAATGCTGTTATGTTGCAGACAACAATCTGCAATAGAAGACACTGTATGGGTAATATCTAGAGGGAATAATAGATAATTCAGATAGCAAAACTGTTCTACCTGATAATAGAAAGTAGTGTTCAAATCAAAATAGGAAAACCACACCGAAAAGTAACACAACTTTAGGATTTGCGGCGGCAGGAGTACCATGTTGCCTACTTTTGTGGCCTCCGAGAGTTGATGAAAGTCTGCAGCAGCTTGTTGCTAGTGCTTTATGTGACATATTTCTAGACCATATAGAAGCACTGCGTTGACACTGGTGCTAAATTTTCGAATCTCGTCCCTTATGTTGGGTGCAGGTTTCCAAACCGACTTCAGAGTAATGATGTGATTTTTCTGGATTTGATACCCATATCCGCTCCGCCTGTGGACTAAACAATGCTACCTGCGAAGCGCATGTCTCCTTGGGGTCCTTGGGTCAAACCGTTGTATTCCTGTCTTCCAACTCCCCACTGTTTATCAATTTATCCACTCCAACGCGGAGAGGAAGACCATTGGTAATTATTGTCAGCCTGGTCTTACTCCTGTCACCATTTCAAACTCTTCAGTGAGCTTTCTACTGGGACTTACTTGACATGTCGCATCATTATGTATAGCTGTGAACGATGCTAATAAATGTGACCTGGATGGCACTAAATCCCGTTAAAGTTGCCATCACATTACTTTTCAGTCAATGTTACCTAAAGATATTTCAAAGTCGATGAAGCTGAGGTAAGACAGCCCTCATTCTAGGATCTGTTCGGTGACGATGACTAGAGTTGCAGTCTGGTCAGCATCTGAAAGATTTTTTCGAACCCAGTCTGCTGAGAGCAGAGTCTTCCATCAATAGCATTTTCTAGTCTCTTCAAGATGATATGGCTTAGCATTTCGCTTGTGGTAGGCATAATCATGATCCCGCGTAAGATTTTCCGTTGAAACCAGTCACCCCACCATAAAATTTTCACTTGGGAGCTTTTCTTCAGGCAAGCAGATAGCTTTTGTTTCTGGAATCCTAAAAATCAAAATGAGTGAAGGGAGAATTCCAGTTTTAGCCTTACACCAGCATAATTCAAAAGTCTGGTGAACAGGCTTCGCTCCATATCACATTAGGCTACCTTCAAAGTTTATTCCACCAGCCTTGTTCAAAGAAACAGTGGCGTGCTCTACTGATAGGATTAATCAGTAGAACATAGAGAAATGTTCTTCGGAGAAACATGGGAAACTTGAAAAGAGGATAAAGAAACACAATACGAAGAGCAGAATTAGCACACTGAATATCTGTATAAATGACGATTTGTAGATGAGCTGTTCACAATTAAATTAGTATAAGTGTATAACTTAGACCCTATGGTAGAATGTAGTTCGATATCGAATCCGTTCATTTTAAATATCACTCAATGATGCAGTATTAACAATTGGACGATCACAAAGTAACGTTCCCGTTCATTGTTGCGACTGAATTACAGCTTTAGAGGCTGACGGTATCGACGTTCGCGAATTGTACGGAGTATACTGACGCAAGATCTCATACCAACAACTTCTATAGTATTCGTTTCTCATGTACCAAAGATAAAACAGAAGGCAAGATTGATCAACCAAAGTACGTGATATATTTCGGGACCAAATCGTGAACCATGTTGAGTGCTTAGCTGGCTAGTGATCGTGCACGCACGTGACACAACGGAGTATCAAATGGCAAGGATGCTTGGCTGGAAGCCTTCAGCTAAACAAGTCGACTTAAACAGTGAGGTTCAGCATCCGATGTTCAGTGATGATTTCTGTGGTCAATAATTTTGGGGAATTATTTACCGCTACACAGTGAAAAAATCTACGACTGACTTTCTGCAGGAGTTTTGGGTGGTAATCAGCAGATGAGATGTTCATAATTTCACTTTAATGATTTATGAAGTTCTTAATAAACGTTTCTTTACACATGCTCTTGCCTTCTAGCTTTATACCACTTCACGTTGTCTAAGTCTTTGTTCTGATATTGGCGGAGGGTTAGCTTTTGACAGTTTTGTCGCCCTGTTCTTGAGTAATGAACTTCAGTCTTGACCTATATCAAGCCTCTTTGATCTTGAAGCTTCCTTGCTATAGACACTGGTCAATGCACACATCTGCTTCTCTTAATTTTGTGTCCGGCATTTACCAACTCCACTTTGTCTAGCTGTGGACGTAGTGTATCTTGTTCCTGGTATATCCATCTGAGGAAGCACAATTTGCCAAGTATATATTTGTACTTGTACACGCAAAAGCTCACCAACTCTCTTCTGTTCCCACCCATTTTGTGAAGATCCTTTCAATCCAAAAGAATTCTCTTCTCGTCTTGATTGGTCTCACTTCACATTGCATCCATTTCACCCGTTATTTAGTTGACGCAGCCATTTTACGTCTAGTCCATTGCTGCTTGCATCTGCCTGCAGCAGTAAGGCTTCCCCTGATCTGGCCTGCGCTGTTCGCTGGAGCGTAGAAATGTATAACTGAAACTTTCATACCACTTGAATCTTGCTGCCAGCATGCTTCAGGAGATTTTGCCTTCAAAGCTGTTGGTAACATTATGATAGCCACACCAATAATGTTCTCGTTATCGTTCGCGTTATCGTCTGAGTAACTGAGGCAGATTATTGAATCCTCGGTTAAGAAGTCGGACTGTCCATTTCCACTCCATCTGTTCCCACATATCTCCAGGGCTTCTCCAACATGTTTTCCTATTCCTGTAGAATTTCGAGCTGCTTTGCTAGCCTTGTGTGAATTTTCTATGCCTTTAGGCCTACTTTTGATCGACGGATCACCACGTACTTGAAGGTTGCTGTCTCCAAACAAAATCTGGATACTAGCCAGCAGTACGAATTTTTCTTACGAAAGCATGGCCATTTTATAACAGTAGTAATTACCAGAAAATCAGCATGGACTACGTACATTAAAAAAACACTTACATTCAGTCCGATGTTCCCCTCAGAATTGGGAAGTTTTTTATCTGCTAGCCGATTTGTTTGAATGTTTTGTAACTGCTACAAAAGGGCCGCATCTATTCATTAAAGCGCGTAGTTCGGAATCTGTGGTTAACTACTCCTTAAGTGAACATCCGTAATTCTGATATGAGTGATAGAAGGAGTCGTAATGCACCTCGCGGAGTGAGTGATGATAGAGTCAGAGGGGTAGTAAAGTGGTTTAACGTTAAAGCTGGCTACGGCTTCATAACACGGGCTGACACATCAACTGACATCTTTGTTCATCAGACAGCTATTTCGCGAAATAACCCTGGAAAGATGCAGCGGTCATTACAAGAAAACGAGGAAGTTGAATTTTTTGTGGTTGAAGGCGATAAAGGAGTAGAAGCATCCGATGTTACTGGTCCCGATAGGAAACCGGTTAAGGTACGTCTATGAACTAAAAGTGAACGTATGATTAGGGGAGTGACTACGCAGCCAATCGTCCATTCGGACGCAGTCCCAGAGAATTTGGCATGCGAAGTGATAGGGATGATTCCAATGGCTACAGAAGCAACGGTTTTGGAAATTACCGTTCCAGAGGCCAAGGTCGTAACGGAACAAAGGTAAATGAAGTTAATATGCATTTGAGTCAGTCCTAACCCACTGTACAACTTGTTGATTTTGTCGTTACTCCTTTGTTTTTGAACTAGCATCTAGGGTAAAGTACTGACTAGACTACTTGTTCTGCGCTTGGAGTCAGTCATTTGATTAATCTTGTATCCTGCTAATATCCGTTAGAGGTCTGCAGTAGATAAGTTTATTGAGGTCCATTTACAAGTCAAAGGACGAAGTGTTAGATAGTTGACTTAATTAATTAGGTCATACGAGCATTAGCAGTTCCCACATCAGTCCCTGTTTGTGTTTCTCCAGTGAAATTCTGATGTGTTGCGACGTAAGTATAAATGCATTTCAGATGGTCACTGAGCTATATCAACAGGATCAGGTGTGAGGCTGTCGGCGATGGTTTGTGCAGCCAGGTCATATTATCTACCTCAGGGTACTCGTAGGTAACTCATGTTTCTAAGCGCAAATCTTCGAAAAACATCTTTCCTCTGGTTCTTAGACTTATTTGAAGTCTGTGAAGCTTACCTCGATGTAGATAACTTAGTTCATGAAGAAACAATTTATTTACTACCACGAGTTATACTCCTCTTCAGTGGTGGAAACAACACTTTGGAGACTTTTAAATGTATGATGGTAAGTATTTGAAGATGGCAGTTATCTGTTGTGAACCTAGTGATTATCTTGATTAAAACGTGTTAACTCAGGTTCTGTGGGTATGAAGACTGTTTATCTCGAAATAACGCCAATATGCAAACCGTCAGTCACTCAAATCGGCTCGGATATGCTCACGCAACTACTGTAGGTGTTTTTGGGAGAGAAAAAGGAAGACCACTTACCGACAAAAAGTTAAGCTACCTTGTTAAACTGCCAACTGGAAGCAATTGGCGCAAAATCGTGCTGTTATCCACTCCAGGCCAAATCTTGATGCGCGTTATCCTGAACCGGCTAAAAATTGCACTGAATGGAAGACTTGACCGGGAACTGATTGCGTTCAGGCAAAACAAACCATGCACTAGTCAAACTACCATGCTTTGGATCATAATCAACAAAGTCTGGAATGGTATTGCTTTCATATCTCAACTCCATTGACTTCGGAAAGCCTTCGATAGCATCAACTGTCAAAAAATTGTGCTATTGTTTCAATACTATGGAGTACCGTGCCAAATACTTATATGAACCTTATTAAATAGCTATACGTGTCAAGCGTTTAAATGGACATAGAAGTAAGACGAGATTGTTTGCATTGATCATCCTGATAGCTGCAACCTGGACATCAGACAGGTCCTCGACTGGGACACGAATATGAAGCGTTGTGTTGACTGTTTATTCGCTGGTGACATGAAGATCATATGAGGAGGGAATGAAAACTTGAAAGTAGTCGTCGAGTCAGTTGAAAGTGGCAGATTATAATGTACAGTGAAGGTAGGTTCTACGTTACTCTCGTAACCCAAAGAATGAATAATATTGACTCATGTAGTGAAATGCTCATTTCGTAAAGGGCTCAACTAAATTTTTTCTCCAAAAGACTCAGATTCTATAACGATTAGTGACTTTTTTTGGTAGTGTATTGGTTCTCTTTAAATATTTTTTCTCTTGGTTGCAACAGTTATCTTTATAAAATTGCATTATCTTGTTAGCTGTACTTTTATCTTACAAAAATTGTATATGTTATATGATTCAAAAGTGTGTCCACTGTGCTAACAGCAAAATGCGAGCTATCCTTACTAACCAGATTAATCACCTATACTTAGAGTTTTTCTGTCTAGAATAATATAACCTCAGTTTGTTAGTGTAGTCGGTCAAATAGCTGCCTCAATGTAAGCGCCCTATCCATCTTAAAGAAGAATTCTAGCATAATGGCAAGTCTGTTAGAAGGAGTAATGGTGGTCGATATGTGCAGACATGATGAACTCTTGGTTTTTGTTGTCCGATCTGATGGCCAGAGGAGTAGACTGACTGACTGTAGTGGGGTAGTAAGATGATGAGGGTAAATGAGAAGGCTTCGTGTCCTTATGAAAGTGCTGCTGGCACCGTGAATGCTGACTGATTCTTCAGGTCCCTGTAATAGAAAGAGTGAAAAGGCTTCGCAAGCGTGAATGTTTTATTACTGAGGAATTGGAGATGTTGCGAACATTAACATGAATGTGTCTAAGCAACGACAAAACCGTGTACGTTATTAGTGAGGCGTATTGTGGAGAGTCCAACTACTATTTCAGCATTTCGAGAACCTTAACCAGCCTTCCTTACCTACATTCGTTTTACGAATATGCAGTCGCTAAATCAAAAGGTATCTGTAAATTCAAGGGAATGTGTACTATTGGAAATGTTGAATTAATGCCAGCACTATTACAAGAGATGATATACAAGCAGTCGAACCCGCACCCCTCCCCCCCCAAAAAAAAACTATTCAGTTTTATATAGTGAGTTAATTATAGTAGTATTCAACCCAGTCATTAGAAGTACACTGCGTATTCGCTCCATCATTTTCAAGCTTGAATGTGATTTGAGGTGAATCAGTCCTATAGCTCCAACCTTAACTATCTCGAGGGTGAAACAAACCACCACCAAAAGAAACTGAGAACTCGGTTACAGATTTTAAGGATTGTATTATGAAATAATTAACTGGATGTCGGGATACTTGTGATCACTGTATATAATTATTCATCTTAGTTTGTAAGAATATGGAGAAGCTTGACGGTCTCAGAGTTCATGGTCATCCAGATATTAGGTGAAAACTGAAGTCCACACGAGGATTCGTTTCTCTCATGGTTATCTGGCATCTGATACCGATCTGTTTCCATGCGGAAACGGACTTCGTGAGGTGTACTAAAAGCTGAGGAGTACCATTTTGTTAGTCATACTTCGGGATATTTAGTGACTGGTCTGATGACACCGTGATGCCAGTTAACCAGTTTAACGATTCCTATAAAGTTTTCATGTAAATTAGTGTCTTACTTCTTAAATTACTCTGGAACAAGAAAAACCGAGTTGTTTTTTGCCAGGGGAACTCATGCAGTATATTCCTTTCACTATTAGAAAAGGGACATTATGAAGTCAGTACAGTTATCTTGATATTTGTCATATTGAGTAATCATAGTGGAAGGTGTACGGTGTCCCTCTTAATATACGAAGGTCGTGATTTGCGCAGGAGTTAGACTTGACTATGGTAATATGGTTTTTCGACCAAGGTCGTCTGCACATATACTTGATTTTAGGGGGGGGGGACTACGTGGCAATCATCACTCCGTTGACGTTGTGTGAGAGTGGATCGAACACTTGATACGCGCGTCTCATCACTCCTTGCAAAATATAAACTAAAAAAATTTGGGTCGCGGACGAAACTAGGGGAAGTAGACTGACACATCATCCTGATGGTGTTTCTCATTCAGTTCAAAGAGAAGCAGGTTTTGTCGATGATGTCTTCATGGCGATAGAAATCTATTGGTAATTTAGTAATTCCCATTGTATCATTAAAAACACAGTATTCAGCGAAGAGACTCTTTTCAAATCTATTAGCAAAAGGTTTTGTTAACGGCTTAAAATTGTTCTCTATATCAAAGAATTATTCAGAGTTCACAGTCAAGTTTTTAAGAGTCTATAATTCTTACAAAATTCGGTTTCCACAGTAGTCTTACTTTGAAATAACATACCTATACCTGTTTTTGTGCTTGACTTAGTTCGTACCGCTCCCGGTCATTTTCAAATATCAGTGCACAGACATGTTCGGTGTTAGATTGCTACCTCTGTGAACATGCGCAAATACATTTACGACAATTTCATATTCTAAAGCTTCGTCTCAGCCTTAATCATTCTCCGTTATCAACTTTGCATTAAAAGAATCGTTTTATTTTTTAAATGTTCTTTTTTTTGTTTTACTTAGATGGATGGTGATTACTCACGAAGATTTGCTGACAGAAATCCACGTGATCGTAGCAGAGGATACGGCTCAAAAGACAATGGAGGCTACTATTCCAGCCCATATTAACTTCAATCATTGTTGTACATAATTGCATTTTAATGCCTAATTTGTACATTTTTCTTCTCGTAATGTCTTCTTCTAGTTAAAAGTGTCTATGCTTTTTCTGTTGACATGACGATCTCTGCATTTATATATATTCAAATAAACGCATGCAAATTCTAGCTATGATAATGAAGCCTGTCAGTTAGTTGAACACTGTCAGAAAGTTAATTCGTACATTGCTTTAAGGAATATGCCAAGAGATAGATAGATACATAGTACCTTAGATGCAAAAAATTTTTGTCCAGCAGTTGAATTGATATCAATTAACTTGACAGTGGTAGCTAGCACGATTTCAGGTAACCAGGATTCCCTTCTGTGTGTTGTCGGTATGGATTCTGGATGATAAAGTTGGCACTGCCTCGTGTGTGTGAGTTACATAAACTGCGTATTAGACGGGTTTTGACTTGAAGTGTGTAGATGTATGCGAGTCGCCCGTATGGAATATGAAACGGTGATGCTGAACTGATTTGTCTGCATCTCCTCCTAGCTTAAAGTGAAGTGATTGAGCGTATCGATTATTTCGCTTATCTTCTAAGTTGCATCAGCTTCTATGGACTGATTCCTGATGAAAATTCCGCTCGGGTACAAAAGACGCTTACGGAATTCGCCAATTTACGTTATCTTCCACATAAATTAGATGTCGAACTGTCGTTCATAGGTAGTGATTTTGTGTGACAGTCCGTTCTGTTTTTTTAATGGTTGTGAGATATGACCGTTGAGAATAGAAGACCTGACGAGATAAGTTGGTTTCAATCTTAGGCATCTCGAAATTATGTTTCCTGAAATTTGATGACCAAAGACGGGGCAAGGCGTAGGTGTTAGGTAATGGGGCGGGGGAATAAGTCGACGAGGTTGGGAAGCTACATCGAAGAAAAGATGGCTAGCACCCTATATATATATATATATATATATATATATATATATATATATATATGAGGAGGTCATCGTTGAAGCGGATGGCAAAGTCATGTCTAACGATGCTACAAAATTTGCGTATTCATCGAAGTGAAGGCACATTGAAGCGAGTAAGATATGAGCGAGAGATAAATCAATTATCGACTCCAAATGATACGTAAATCAAGAAAAAAAACAATATTATAGTTCATATCATGTTATTCATACAAAAAGTCTATTTTACAATATCAATCACAATGTTGTATCAACACCAGTACTTTATAAGCACAACCGAGCCAGTTCATCACGAAGTTCTTGTTCAGTGGCAATTTTCTCCAATTGATTGAATGCTAACGCTTTGCCTGAGGCTTGTTCTTCTTTCAGTTTCTCGATTTGACTCAATTTCTGTTTAAAAAAAGGGGAACAGGGACGGAGTAAGTAAAGGTTGGTATCTAATATTGCGCGAAATGTGGCTGACTACCACCTTAAGTTGCTCGACTTCAGCCAATCGATGGTCCCCAGTTTGCATTCCACCTCAGCTTAATGAATAAGTGAGTAACACCGTTAGCCCACACACACAGTCTGTGTGTAGCCCACAGTGTGAAATATGGAAAGTCTCTTCCGAGAACTGAGTCTTAGCAAACTTACTACTGTTGACTATGCTTAGCTCTTGAACTGTTACACCTGTGTTTGCATAATTCTAATTGGATTCCATTCAATCTGTAATTTCTGCATCCGAATTCCAAGTAAATAGATAAGATGATCGGTGCCAACGCAAATTTAGCAACCAAGGGTATCTCATGTCAATCAAGACGGACATTTCTTACATTTTCATGAAGAAATTAGTTAAGTTCGCTTTACATTGAAGTCTGCTTTGAAGATGTTATCTAGGAAGACGATGAAAGCTTCACAGTTAAATTATAAAGCTCAGAGAATACAATCACATCGAATTTACTGCATTTAGCCACCCCTTATCTCACACACAATAGGATTTAACGGACGCCACCAATAAATGCCACACACATTCACCTACGAAACATTTAACTTAAGTCTCTGATTGTGACTAGCAATGGAGTCGACAAAGCTTATTTTGGACTCCTTCAGCTGGATGTACCTGAATCCTCACTGAGTGACAGTGTTCCCTTTGAAATTTGAACTCATTGTTTAAAAAGGCGGCATAGCGTTATCCACTAGGTGTTATAAGTTAATTACATTCCAGCGGATTAGACAATAAGAGCAGCGGAACCTATGCATTGTATTGTTCTTTCCTGTATGGTGCCGAAAGAAATACGGTTTCCGCAGCAAATCTTACTTGCGTCCCTACTCTGTTGGATTTCTTTTGGCTTACTACATGACTGCATATAGGCTTTATATGACACTCTGGGATCCTCACCTAACTCATCACTTTTTATTCAGGGTTTCACTCGACAACCTACGTGGCAGCATGTGATGTCACTTTAACGGTCTCCCCCAGAGCCTGTCAAATCCATCTCCATTTCTTTCTGCGCACACATTCGTTAGACAATACGTTACGTATTACTTATCCTCTCTAACCATCTGATGTACAGTATTGAGGGAAGGCACATGTTCATGAAAGTTTGCAGCTTGTTGCACGATGATACAGCTCTTAATATTTTGCTTCGAGGTGTTGAAGCATTCGTTTTCAGTTGTTTCAAACTTTGAATTCATGACTCCTAAGAAGGAGTCGTTTCTGTAGCTTTCTTCTTTCAGTTTCTGAGTGTTGAACTCTTTCAACTTGATCTTGAAGCTTCTTTGCATTAGGTACTAATATGAAGCTACATCTACTCTTTTCCCTTATACTGTGGTTTTCTGTATGCCTATCTAGTGAGATTCATGTCGCCTATTGTATACCTCTGGACTTACAAACGCTTCCGCCGCCATTCATCTAGTCACTAAAAGCCTGATCTTAAATTAGTTATGCGTTCTCACATTCATTTCATCGAAAGCCTTTTGACCCGTAATGACTTCTCCTCTTGTGTTTTCTAATCTAAGTTTGCCTTGTTCTTATATCACCCATTGGAATTTTCATGTCATCTGGTTGAGTTGTGAAACTTTAATACGATCGGTGCATCTTTTTCAGGAGTGGGGTTGCTAGCCTCACGCCTAGTCTTTCCTCTATAACGGCCTTACTGGAAGTTTAGGAGCGCGTCGGCTGGGAACCAGCCTAAGTGATTGGTTGGCGAGTATTCCACCACTGAACCATCGTAGCATTGTATAGTTACACCTTTCTTTCGTTCCTTATAAGTTGAACATTATTATTATTTCCTTTACTTCCTAGAGCAACATAAGGCGTCAGCCACACGTCTCCATTGCGTTCCCTTCTCCGCCAACCTTTTCACCTGGCTCCAAGTCTGCCTACATGCTTTCATCGCTTCACGTCAACTCCTCCATGTCACCCTAGCACTGACAACCAACTCGTCGCTTCCAGTCCAGGTTCCACTCGCGAGAGCGCCTGCCGTGTGATGTCACTCACTCGATGGTTTGTTTTCTCAAAGTGTGGCCAATCCAACTTCATTTCTTCCTGCTTCTTCGCTGCACAATTGGTTCCTGCTGGGTTGGTTCGTTCATTGCCAGAGATCCCTCCTTATTGCTGATTTTTTCAGGTCATCTGATCTTGAGTAGTATTGAGCGAAGACAGTTGTTGATGAATGTGTGTAGTTTGTTCGAAAAGCCCTTCGTGACGCAGAGCAGCGCGAAGTCTCTGATCCGTATAATCGCACTGACTTCACATTGGAGTTGAATATCCGAATCTTATTCTAAATTTTCATGCTGAGTGCTGTCGATCTCCACACAGACTTGAGATTAATGATAGCTTGCTTTGCTTTCCCGATTCTTCCTTTGATATCCTCATCATTTCCGTTCGCCTGTAGTGGAAACGATGCTTCCCAGGTAGGTAGGTAAGTGAAGGAGGTTGCTTCTTTCAGATTTCTCCCACTTAAGCTGGCTGATTGTTGCTGTCGCTGTTTCTGTTGGCCAGGAATCTTCATCACGAACCTCTGTTTTCTCTATGTTCACCTGAATGAAGTCCTATCTTCTCTGGATGCTTCTTCCTCTGTCAACTTGTTGCTTTTCACTTACATATCTTCCAGTTTGTGGGAAATCAGGCATATATAGTATAGCTAATACTGTATCATTATTATTGTGTGTTATGTATGAAATAAACTTGACTAGCATGAAGTAAAATACTAGATAAAGCAATTTTTTTAGAGAAAAAAACTCGAAATAAACTTACCTTACATATTTGATTAACTTGTTTTTGATTCTTAGGATCTGATGCAGTTTGATGAATGGCACCAGTAGTTGTAGCATCATTATTGTTTTTACCTTTAGATACTACTGAATTATTGACACCTGTTAAGCAGCGAGAATCAGCGCAAATGGAGTGGAAAAGGAAAATGAAACAAAAATTGTATTTTATAAGGAAATTCAAATAATAATAGGAATAATAATTCGGCAGTTTGAGTGCTCCTGTATTTCGTCCTGTCCTCCTATATGGCTATTTGGTTACGAAATCTCAGCACGGATCCAGAAAGCTCGGGCTGCTTTCGCTAACTTACACCATCTCTGGCGTAGGCGTGACATCCAACTATCAACCAAGGGACGTGTGTACTGCTCAGCAGTTCTCTCTGTCCTTCTCTATGGCTCTGAAACATGGCCAATACGAGTTGAAGACATGAAAAGTTTGTCTGTTTTTGACCACAGATGTTTACGATCTCTTTCTCGCGTTAGGTGGTATAATAAGGTAAGTAATGTTGACGTTAGGCGTAGAGTGTTGGGCAGAGGGAAAATCAATCGAAGAGGCTATAAAGTTACATAGATTGAGATGGCTAGGTCACGTGCTGCGCATGCCTAGCCATCGCCTCCCCCTCCCGACGGGCATTACTAGCTGATATAGGTGCAGGTTGGAAAAGAGTAACTGGTGGCCAAACAAAAACATGACATCAATCAATCCATGAAATCCTTGACAGTTAAACTGAGTCAGGTAGGGAGATGAAGACTTCCGGGTTGGGGCCCTCGGGACTCTAAGAATCAATGGCTGGAGACGTTGTCAATGGCTTACGTAGATGTATTCAGACTCTGTAATCTTTCATATTCCTTTCTACCATTATTCATTCTGTTTCACTCTTTTACTTGTCAAAACTCAATTGATTCTCTTCACTCATCTTCTTGTCTACCTTTGTGTGCTATTTGGAACGTGGCAACTCGAACTGCTGCGCTTTGGTGCCAAGTTCTATACTGAATTCAGCCAGCCTATATGGCTATGAGCGAGACATGACCATTGATAAATGGAAGATATGGAAAGCCTGGCTAGCCATCTTTGATCATAGGTGCCTGCATTCTATCTCCTGTGTTAAGTTGTATAATAAGGTGAGCAATATAGAAGTTGGGCGTCAAGTTGCAGATAGGAGGGAGAAGGGCGAAATCAATCGACGAGGTTGAGAAGTTTAACCACTAATTGAGATGGTAAGGATATGTGTCACGCATGCCTACCTAGGCATCGCATTCCTCAACCGAAGTACAATGTTAGCTGATATAGGACTGATCAGATTGGAAAACACCTAATGGTGGTAGTGGTCAAAGCAAAACCAACATGGCTTCATCAGTCAATCAAATCCATAACAGTTAGTTAGTAAGTTTGAACCAGTCACACAGGGAGGTGTAGATTGCCAGCCAGCCAGCCTCGCTGGTGGTAAGAACCAATGAAGGCTGGAGACAATTGGTGATGGTATGGCTGGCTCAAAATCCTCGTTCTCATTGATGGCTGGCGTAGATGCGCATTCACTCAGTCTTTGTGATGATTTGTCATATCCAATAAAAACTCACACCTCTGTTTATTATCTCTCCTTTGAATGTCTGTTCACTATTTTCCCCATCTCTCTCTTAATTTGGAAAAGAGTTAGGCGATGGTCATACCAAAACTTATCATTACTTCACAAAATCTTCGATGGTTGATTTTAGCCAGCCACATAGACAGGTGTATACTGCTGCTTGATTGGTTGGCGTCCTCAGAATTCTAAGAACTAATAACTGGAGACTGTTGGTAGTGATATTGCTAAAAATTGTTGTCAGTGACGCAGATGTTATTCACTATCTGAGACCTCACATATTCACTAAACCCTGACATTCGTACAGAGCCACTGACCATCACATTTACTTGATTGTGATAATCTGACAACTTCCTCTTCAACCTTAATTCCTTTACAAGTTATCGTCGTTTTAATTATAGAATGAATTTTTTTCTTTTTGTAATTTTAACAGATCGATATTTTATTTAAAATAAATTATATTCTTGGTGTCAATAGGAATTTTACTTTAAATATTACAGTTATATGAGACTGTACAACCTGACTGATATAAATATAAAACTTGGGCACTGTGGTAGAGTATAACTCCATTATGGATAAGATTTTATTTTGATAAACCACACAGTGTTGTACAGTAATATTAACTGATGACGTTTCGAACATAAACTTATTGCTCATAATCATATCAAGTGAACTTGATATGATTATGAGCAATAGTTTATATAAAATCTTATCCATAATGGAGTTACAACCTGACTGACTGGTTTCAACATACAACTACTCTGCATAGATGTGCAGCCGCCGGAGTTGCCACACTCCCTCCATATAGTACACAAAGCAACAGAACAGAGTAAAGAGCGATAATAAATTGAAGTGTGAGTGATGGGGAGAGAATAGTAATAAGCAAGAAAAACAATATTATTTTGAATACAGCTTGATTCCACATTGTATATTTGGTACAAGTATGGAGTTTTCAGCATGTGATATCGGTAGCCCAAATTTTGCAGGCCGACCATAGATATCAGGTGTGCGTCGGCGGGGGGTCGAACCCCGGACCATGTGCATGAACGACGAGAGTCCTAACCGGGTAAATTTTGTATCATAAAGTCTCACAGTGTTATACAGTAATGTACTGTATAGATTGATTGGTATTAGATGGTTGGAGGCAATCGGCAGGAAGCCTTGGACCTGGGTTTCGTGCTAGCTGGCACTCATCAGCAAGGCGTATCTGCAACCTTGGAGGAACTGATGTCCCTTCTGAGATTCGAACCCAGTGCTGCAGTCAGAGACGTTACCACTGAGCTATTCAGGCTCGCGACTGACCTCCTGTAGGACTGTATTGGATATTTTTGATTGCACACTAGTTACTGACTAGTGTGCAATCAAAAATAGATTGATTGTGAGGAAAGTTAACAAAATATGTTTTAATGAAGATGTGATAAGATTAAGAGATGATAAAAGAGGAGGTGGCACAGCGGTAGAATGCTCGCCAACACGCAGATGGATCGGGATTAGATCCCCGGCCGCCAAAGTACTCCTTTACTTCGGTAAAGTAGTAATAAAACTGGTAAAGAGAGAAGGTTGGGCATGAAGCTAACAACCCCATCCCGTAAAAATAAACACCACTGATACAAAAACTCCAAGTCTCTAGCTTGAAGCTCTATGTTCCACTGGGAACTGCGTGGGTGGCGAGCATTCTACCACTGTGCCATTGACTCACCGAGTGTTAGGTAAAGAGGGAAAATCAACAGACGGTTAGAACAGGTGTCACGCATGAGTCCTAACCACCGCATTCCTCGATGGGCAATGTTAGCTGACACAGGGTCAAGCTGGAAAAGAGCCAATGGTGGTGAAACCAAAACCAACATGGCTTCATCAGTCAATGAAATCCACAACAGTTAGTTTAAGGCAGCCAGTCACGTAGGGAGGTGTAGACTGGCTTCCTGGTTGGGCTTCTCACGACGGTACACACCGGTGGCGGCCAGAGACAATTCGTGATATGGCTCAAAATCGTTCTCAATGACAGCGCACTTCTTGTGATTTATAAATTCCAATAAGACTATATTGTTCTTCCATATTACTATTCTTTTTGTCTCATATCTCTGTTTACTGTCTTTATTTTGCATTTCTTTTTTACTTTCTTTACTTTATAATACAGAATGGAATTCACATCACATGTAATACTAGAAAAAATAAAATCAAGGTGTGTTATAATGTTTATCGAACAGTTACAGAGTACGAACCATATTGGTTGAAATTTGACTGCTCAATTGGAGGATTATGATAATAAAAAATCAAATAGGTAGGAGTCGTTATCACTCACATTCAATAGCTGGCTATATGACAATGCCACGTGCCAAGTGATCCACAATGGAAAACTCAATGAGGCGTTTGAAGTGAACACAGGAGTAAGACAAGGCTGACTGCCTACTACCACCGATGTCATTCTTAATTATGGCCGACTGGATTATGTGGAACATCGTATGTAGGGGGCGAGAAGACAGGAATAAGCTGCACCAATGAAAAGAAGACGACTCTAGAAGATCTGGATTTCGTGTGTGGATGATTTATGTTTAGTGTCACACAAACTAGAAAACTTGAAATGCCTTGCATATTGGATGATATTGAATTTCTAATCAAATTTAGTACATATGTACTTTCTATATGACTTTATTCATCATCATGGAACAAAGCATAGAATGGTAGTCAAATCTCTCTTTATACCTCAATTTCATCGACTTTGAAAAAGCCTTCGTAAGTGTTGACCATGAAGTAATTTGGAAACTACTTCGACAATATGGTGTGTTGTGCCTTAAGTCTTTATCAACCTCAGTCAACCGCAGCTATATGACAATCTCACATGTCAACTGATCCACAAAAGAAAACTCATTGAAGCGTTCGAAGTGAATAAAAGAGGGTAAGACAAGGCTGGCTGCCTGTTATCACCGGTGGTATTCCTAATTGTGGTGGACTGGATTATAAGGGAATACGTTGAACCACCGATAATGTGACTCTAGAAGATCTGGATTTCGCGTGTGGATGATGTCTAATGTCACAGAAACTCGAAGACTTGCAGGTGAAAACCAACAAAGAAAAGCTGGAAAAGCAGTTAGTGAAGATAGGACTCCAGGTGAACATAGAGAAGACAGAGGTGATGAAGACAACCAACCGACAGTAATAGGAACAACAGCCGGCACCAATCACCATCAACGGAACAGATTTGACACAGGTTACTTCTTTCATTTATCAGGCCACGTAGCATGGTTGCAACCACAGGCAGTCGGAACGGATGAAGATTTCAAAGTCAGAACCGGAAAGGCAAGATACGCACGCCTTCATCAACCTGAAACCAGTTTGGAAATTTTCTGCACTGCACTCAAGCCAGCATAAAAAACAAGGTTCGGATTCAGTTCAACACAAATGTGAAGTCAGTCAGTTCTTCTGTGCGGGTCAGACACTTGACCAGCGTGTCACGAAAAAGATTTCCAACAACCTGTTGCAGACTTTTATCAACAGCTGCCACCTTCTCTGGCCATTTAGAAAGAA